AGTGCATGCTGCACTATTTAATTTTGTTTTGAGCTGGGACAAACATTGCATTATTGATGTGAGCAGCATTCATAAAGCTTTGAGGCCACTACCTCCAGTGACTGCCAGAGCCTGTTAAATTAATCCAGGATACAAACATTCGTCAAACAATGCCTTGAGGAAAGTGGACTTCAAATATCACTAGATAGCCCACTCTGGAGATCACATATATGTCAGACACAGCTCTGTTGACATTTCTGAGTTTTTACCTGGCATATATTGAAAGTGCAGAGTTGGAAGCTGTGACAAAGTGCCCTTGCCACTTCTACCTGGAGAGGACTAATGGCTAGCCTCTTGCCTCATTACTATGGCCCCTCTCATCAGCCTATGCTGTAACTTTAACCCCATGGCGATTTGACTGTGGTTGTGGGATCTGAGCGCTTTTTGGATATATTGAGCGCTTAGATCCAAGCTATCTGGGGATAGGTTGAATGTGGGGGTTCTGTACAGTATGATAGGAGTTATGTATTTTTGTGTATTTTTGCTGTTGTTGTGAATAGGGATATTTTCTGTACCTGGAGATAGATGGCTTACCACACCCAGTTAAGCCACTTATCTCACACAGCCTAACTCTGTGGAACTGGTTTGGACAGGAAAAGCCATGCTTGCAGTGATCACAAAGGACTTCGACCTAACTTTTACACCAATGGAAGGAATTGCCTGATTTGTGAGTATGTTTGTATTTGGAGTATGCTGATTCTGAAAATGTGAATGTGATGTATACTTTTAAAGTTATGAATATTGTGTAAAACTGTATATTTTCTGCCTGTGATAATTAAGTTAGTCTATTGTGTTGAGATAATTGTATCACACGCAGAGGGGGGATTTCTGCTGGTATGAATGGGAGTGTTTAGTTGTGTTGTAATGTATTGATTGGTTTGTTCTTCAAAACCCTGTGGGCGGTCCTGTATGTGTAAGACCTCCATAAAAGAAAGCCCTTTATTGCCAATTGAACAGAACTGCTTGACCCTTTCTTGAAGCCTTGGCTCATGCTTGGGGGATGGGATAACTACACTCTGGGGATTGCTATAATCACATACTCCCCAGAGTCAGCTCTTGCAAGAGCTTGTTGTGTTCCTGGTTCCTGCTCTCTGGATTTAGGAGAAGTTCACCCACTGGAAGCTGGATCCTGGCCTTGAATCGAGGGTGGGTGAGAGATGGCGAGACCCCGGCGCAGCTGCATCGCTGGTAGTGGGGTCTGCAGTGCAGATGGTGTCGGTTGGAGTGCTTGGAGTCCTCGGCAAGCACTAGGAGCATCGATTGGCGGAGGAACTCGGTCGAAGTGCGAGCGGTCCGTCACATTTGGTGGCAGCGAGTGCGAGTACCAGGATTTATAATTGAGGGCAACGCTAGCACTCTGGCAGCGCTCCTATCTACAGAGGAACTTGGGAGAATGGAGCGACCTAGTGACCATGCAACGTCCCCATGTGAGTAGGAGTTTCTCTGGAAGTTGCAGCAACACTTTGCCCAACAGGATGGGCCTGTATCAGAGGAGGGCATACTGGACTAGAGAGATGCTGTAAGAAATTATGTCCCTCTTACAAGGATATTCTTTTAGGGAATGTGTGACAAATAAGACATAAACACAAGTGTATATTAAAATGTATTGTAAATATTCATTTAAGGATACTGTTAGATTTTAAAAGGATATACACATGACATTATACAGTCGGTCCTACTCCTCAGCGGCAGTATACTTTGCAGGGAGAGGAGACAATCGGTCTCTCTCCCCAGCGGCGGGCTGAGTTCCAGGAGGAGGTGATGGCCAATCCCTCGACTGAACAGCAACCAGAGTCCTGGGGAGTGGGAGCAACCGGCCTCCCTCTCCCACCGCAGCCGGAGATACTGGGAGAGGGGGAAAACAACCCTAACCTCACTGGCGCAGATGGGACCGCAGTCTCTGTGCCAGTCCTACAGGGATGCTGGACCCCAGACCCCCAACTATCCCCGCAGGGATACCAGGTGGAGGAGGTTAGTGAGCCCTCCCCTCTCCAGCTACATCCCGACCGGGTCCTGGGGGCAGTGGATGGGGGCACTTACCCCCTCCCAGCAGAAGAGCTGGCATCTGGGCAGAGCGCTGTTAACCTCTGCCCTCCCGTTGCCCCTGGTCCAGAGCCTCATTTACTGCAGGCTACCCCAGCAGAAGAGCTGGCAGCTGGCCTCTGCCCCCCAAGCAACACCAGCAGTTTGCCTAGCTACACCAGGGAGACCGAGGGTACTGCACTGTCCCACTGCAGCCTGGAACCCAAGGAGCAGTGCCATTTGTTGTGGGCAGGCTACTCTGCGAATTTTTCTTTGTGGGTGGGCTGCCCGACTAACCTAGGTACTGACCGGCAGAAGGTCAGGTACCTGTTTAGTCTTCCCCACCAAAGGGAAGATGTGTGACGAAGTGCTCTTCGCCACTTCTACCTGGAGAGGACTAATGGCTATGTCCTGTATGTGTAAGACCTCCATAAAAGAAAGCCTTTTGGTGCCAATAAACCCCTTAAGGACACACTTTCTGAATTAAAAGGGAATCATGACGGAATATTTCCATCATGTGTCCTTAAGGGGTTAAACAGAACTGCTTGACCCTTTCTTGAAGCCTTGGCTCATGCTTGGGGGATGGGATAACTACACTCTGGGGATTGCTATAATCACATACTCCCCAGAGTCAGCTCTTGCAAGAGCTTGTTTTGTTCCTGGTTCCTGGTCTCTGGATTTAGGAGAGGTACTCGGTCGGAGTGCCAGTGGTCCGTCACAGAAGGCATTAAGCTTTTTACCACTATCTGTGAGGCCTGAAACCCATCTTCATTGCCAACCGATACATCCAAGACTACAGAGAGGATAATGGAAGAAAAAAATTCTGCCTCCTCTTTTAAAATCAAAGAATCAGGCTACCTGGGTGAGAGCACACATCTGCCCTCCTACTTTACCCTTTCTTTTGCCATTTTGTTTTACGATGTGATCTACTATTTTATTTTTATGACAGCTTGACAGTGAAACTAATAGTCTGGACACCCTTTGTTGTCTGCAACACTGACTTCCAGTTTACTACAGTACTTTTGCCATATGTGAGCAATGCAGAAATATTGCCTTATTCACCTAGTGCATTAGTCACCCTCTGTGGGATGGGCTCACACATACTTTAGTTGCGCTTAGTCCCCAGTTCTTGCTTAGCAAAAATGTAAATATCCAATGTAAATACCCAATGCTGTCTCTTGATGCTGGCTGGACCCTGATAGCCTCAAAATGGAGTAAACAGAAAGTAAACACTTTATTTGTTATCATTCCACTAAAGTATTCCAGTGTGGCATTTTCTTTATTTTTTATTTGCTGATCTACTTCTTGCCTGAATTTTCTGAGTTGGGTGACCCATTAGAAATCACTCCTGGAAGTGCTTTGGTGAGCTTATCCTCTCACCTTACTGTGTGCCTTAGATTCTCCCCACTGTGCACAGTGACATCTGCTGATGTATGACAAGACCCACTGCAGATTTACTGGCATCTCTCAAGTCTTTCACACTCATTTTTGGCCTGGCCTAGCCTCATGCTGGACATGCTTACCTTGGATTACCCTATTGATGTTCTAATGAACACTGCTACACATCTTCTAAATAAGCATTTATTACTATTAGTAGCATTTTCTCACTTGTGTTTCAGACTTCTCTACTCATTGTCCCTTACTCACCATGCTTCCCTCATCTTGCTCCCCACATTCCATTTTTTTTCCCTTTTCCTTCCCTGTGTTCTTCTATCCTACCTCTTTACCTGTCAGCCTTTTCTACCTTTATTCGTGCAACTTTTCGGATTTTTGTTTATATTTAGTTTATTTGTTCGGTAGTTTTCAAACTACAGAACTACCAACCACCCCTCTGGCTCATTATCACTCCAGGAAACCTTCAATTAAGCACTCTCTATGTGTGGCCGCCGTTCGTATAGCCGAACGCCATGTGGAAGAGAAAATGGCAGCCATCTTGTTTACACGAAAGGAGGCAGCGGGACTTGGTCATCGAGTGTCTGGAACTAAAAATCGGACACTCGACTTCCTGAACCACCGGTCAAACTGATGAACGCCAGCTTCCATTTTTCCAAACAGCTAGGAGAGTGCTGTTCGGTAGTTTGGTTCACACGAACCAGGGGAACAATCGCTGCTATGAGCCAGAGGGATCTATTTGCGTATTTTGTTTGGTTTTATGACTTAACGAAATAGACCGACCGCACAGCCTAAACTTATGGAACTGTTCTGGGCAGGAGCCTCGTGTGCGGTCGGTCAAATGGGACTTCCATGAAATTCAAAAACCCCTGAACCGATCTGGGTGGTTTTTGGATATGTTGGTCACCCAGATCGGGGCTATCAGGGCATGTGACATTTGTGGGGGTCCTGTATGTTTTGGGGTATTTTCCAGATATTGTGAAAATTGTGTCCCCTCTGCCCAGAGATAATTAAGTTATTACTTTATCTGAACCAATTATCTCCAGGCAGAGAGGAGGGGATTAACTGTTTGTACTGGGAGTGTCACTGTTTTGCTCTGTGTTACTACTGGTTTTACTAAGTTGTGTCCCTGTTTTCCACAAGCTCCAGGGGGTGTTCCCCTGGCCTGAAACATGCATAAAAGCCAGTGTGGCACAATAAAATTCATTCCTGTTACACCTTTTGTAACGGATCACATTGCACCCCGACTGGGTACCTCCGTTGAAGGATGCTCCTAGCGCTTCCTGAGGGCTCCAAGCACTCCACGAGAGACCATAACCACCGCAGACCCCACAAACCGCTGCAGCTTGGTTGGGGTCTCGACGTCTCCTACCCACTCTGGACCTACGACAAGGCTCCAGGTTCCAGTGGGCGAACCTCTCTTTCCCCAGATAGTGAAGCAGGAACAAGCTCTTAAAAGAGCTTAGTGATTATCCAAGGGAATATGAAGAGCATAGCAATCCCTAGTAGCCGTTTCCCCCAATAAGAGACAGGACTCATAATTGAGGGTGAAGTAGAAGTGAAGGTTTAATGATACAGCTGCTTCTTTTATACACATTTCCCCACAAGGTTACCACCCACGTGGACCTTGTGGAACACAGGACACAAAGTTACAACAGCCAATCAACACAGTACATTACAGTCAGACACTCCCAGCTAATGCACACAAACCCTCTCCTCTGCCTGTGATACAATTACCAAGCCCAATGGACTGGGGGTGTTCCCCTGGCCTGAAACTTGCATAAAAGCCAGTGTGGCACAATAAAATTCATTCCTGTTACACCATTCATCATGTTTTGCCTGGTGTTTGGGTATCTGATTACTGCTTTGGGGAAATGCAGCTTAAGCGCTTCATCTACTCTGGAAAACTAGACGAACGAAGAACCGAACGGTGAGCTATAATCACTCTTGCTCTTAGCCGTTCGGATAAAACTGACGAACCACTAGCTACCACTTCAGGGTTCGTTACACTGGCCTCCATTCATTTCATTCCATGTTCTACTTGTCTTAACCTCCCATTTTTGTCCCCATCTGTTGGTTTACCACAATGTATATTGTATATTAAATATTAATGATCTATACTACACATCATCCCCTTCGTTCTGCTTAGCGGCTGGGGTCAGCTCATAATACTGTTTTTTTTTATCCACCATTCCTTGTTGCCTTATCCCATTTTTTTTTAAACATTCTTCAGTCCCATCTTTTAATGCATTGTATTCTATTGTTACATTCTAATTAGCATGAAAAAAGTTTGTAGTTCTATTTTCATTATGGTGCATTAATTATTAATTTTTTTTTAACTGTTTACACAGTCTTGCAATTTTGTATGTGTGAAGTTTTCATTTAATAAGACAGATTTTCAATTTAAGACATCAAATCTCTATAAAGTTGAATACTTTTAATGGATTCATTGTTGTCAATCAGATCCATTAACTATTGGAAAAAAAAAACTATTCTTCTGCTTTTTCTTCAGAATGTTCAGCATATGCCACTATTTCTTCATTCTGTTTCCATAAAAAAAAGAAAAATATTTTTTTCAACCTCCAGGGCAATACAAGATAGATATATAGATAGATAGACATTAACAAATGCAATTATTGTTGCTTTGTAAATTTTATCTTGCCTACAATAATTGTTAAAATACAATAAATAATAATTGTTAAAATAAAATAAAATTCAAAATTGCACTTAAAACAAAGTGCAAATAAAGTATGCAGCTTTTATTTAGGTTTAATCAAAAATAACTTAGCTCTTGTCCCTTCCTTTGTATAATTGTTTAGGTGAAACATCAAATAAATACCTTCAATAATGTTTCTGAAGTCTGTATTCTTGGCATCTTATAAAATTCTCCTGAAAAATACAGGGTGTTAGAATAGGTATAGAATTATAGACATCATGAAAAATTGTAAACTCCTTATCTACCAACCCATCTATGTTTTGCATTTATCTTTTTCTAACTTTATTATTATGTTATTAACATCCATTCCATTTTAATTCAGTCTCTGCCTCCATGCAGAAGGACTGTAAATACTATTCTATGCACACACTTTGCAGTTGCGTTTATTGGTGAAAGAGTAAAGGTGAAGATGGCTGAATGAACATTACAGACCTTCTTTACAGGTTGCAAAAGCAACCTGCAATGCTTGTTTGATTATTGATGATTAGTTACCAAAGTGACTAACTTATTGTATGAGAGTATAATGCCCATACACTCAGGGCCGGCGCTACCTGTTAGGCGGACGAGGCAGCCGCCAGGAGCGCTGGCCCCCCTCATGCTGCAGCCGCCCAAGCACTCTGTAGAGAGCCTGAGGCGGCTGCAGCTTTGCCCGGGCTGGTGCGTCCATGAGGAGAGGGGCTGACAGGAGGGAGTGTGGCCGAGCTCTGTATGGTCCGCGGGCACAGGGAGCATCTGTCTCCTGTACCCGACCTGACTAACAGGAAGTGTATACTGAGTGTGCACTTCCTTTTAGTCCGGCCGGGTACAGGAAACAAAAGCTCCCTGTACCCATACAGAGACGCGAAACCCATGGGGAGTGAAGGAAATTGACAGGGAGGGGGAGAAATTGACAAAGAAATTGACAGGAGGGAGGGAGGGGAGAAATAAATTGACAGGGAGGGGAGAGAAAAGAAATAAATTGACAGGGAGGGAGAAATAAATTGACAGGGACGGAGGGGAGAAATAAATTGACAGGGAGGGGAATTAACAGTGGAGGGAGGGGGAATGAGAGTGGAGAGGGGGAGGGGTGAAGAGAGTGACAAGGGAGGGGGAGAATAGAGTGATAAGGGAGGGGGGAGAAGAGAGTGACAAGGGAGGGAGAGGGGGAAGAAGAGAGTGACAAGAGAGGGGGGAGAGATTGACATCCATCACACACACACACAATGGAGAATAGAGTGATAAGGGAGGAGTGATAAGGGAGGGGGGAGAAGAGAGTGACAAGGGAGGGAGAGGGGGAAGAAGAGAGTGACAAGAGAGGGGGGAGAGATTGACATCCATCACACACACACACAATGCACCCCTTACACACAAAGACAATGCACCCCTTGAGTGACAAGGAAGGGGGAGAAAAGAGGGACAAGGGAGGGGGGAGAATAGAGTGATAAGGGAGGGGGGAGAAGAGAGTGACAAGGGAAGGGGGAGAAGAGAGTGACAAGAGAGGGGGGAGAGATTGACATCCATCACACACACACACAATGCACCCCTTACACACAAAGACAATGCACCCCTTACACACAGAAAAACACTCAATGCATTACACACACAGACACACACACACACACAAGCAATGCAACCCTTTCACACAATGCATCCCTTACACACACAGAAACACACAATGCATTCCTTACACACACACTCAATGCATCCCTAACAGACGCACACACTGCATCCCATACATACACAGAAACACACCTTGCAGCCCTTACACATACAAACACAGATTCACACAATGCATTCCTTACACACATATCAGGACATCCCCTACACACTCCACCCCCTGTGAACAAACTCATTGGTGGAACATGAAGGTGGACCCTGGGACCCAGACCTTGAGCTGTGTAAAGGACCCCCAAAAAATGGAGCTGCTTCCCGTTCTCCCAGAACATTGATTTTTGTGACCACAGTTACAAACCGCCTCCAGAGAGCCTGTTCTGCACCAGACCAGTGGAGCCAGACTGCAGCTAGAGCCCATCATCATCCTCATCTGGTTGTAAGTAGGCAATCTAGTATATTATTCGTGGTACTAATCTCTAATTTACCTCACATTAAAGAAACACTATAGTCCCCAGAACCACTGCAGCTTAATGTAGTGGTTCTGGTATCTATAGCCTGTCCCTGCAGGCCTTTTAATGTAAACACGGTGGCACTGCAGCACTGGCGTTAGTTAACATGGCAGAGCATATGGGTGGGGCATTATGATGTCACATGGGGGGGGGCGGCAAACTTTACTTTTGCCTAAGGCAGCAAAAATCCTTGCACCGGCCCTGCATACACTGTATGTACACTGTTTTTACTTTTTGGTAATACTTGAGTGAATTAAGTAGATTTATAATGAATTCACATAACCGGTTATATTAATAATTTTGGTTTAATTCTTTAGACCCACCAACTGAATGTAACAAAAGAAATGTTATTCCTGTTTTAATGTCAAAATTTTATTCCAAGATAAAACAGGAAATGTACACAGAATGGTATTTCTATCATTAGAGTTTCCCTTTAAGGGCTGTGGAAAATTGTTACCCACTATGAATATGTATATGCATATGTTGAACCTGTGGCCGTGTCTTCACTACAGCTCATACACATTTTATATTGATCGCATATGCCGATATACATATTCGCGGGCTTATAAATTATCTATGCATTTCTGACTAGCAATTTATACACAAAATCTGTTTTGTTCTACACAGTTCTTAAGCATGCCCACATTTCATATTAATATTGTGCTACCTGATTTTCTGCATAGCTCTAGTATAAGCTCTTCTTCTTTCGCCTCATCTGGTGTTTTTTCTTTCTTATATGGCAGACCTATTAAATATGAAAAGACACATTAAATATTCAATTATTAAAAAGTCTTTAATTAAAGAGATATCCACTAAGCCAGCTGGAAATTTTTCCGTTTAAATTAGCGATAACTAAAATAACATTAAATAACGATTTGCCGACCCAATAAAATCACAAATACTTGTTAGAAAGAATTCAAAAACTAATTACAGATGTTTAATTCTTCCTCCCAGTCATCATCACTTTCATCATCCAAAGTGAGATCTACAACTACTGGTGGATGGTTCGGTAAAACTAATATATCTTCCATTAACAGCAAAGCTTCTTCCTCTTCAAACGCCCCAGCCAACTCCTTGTTTTGTTCTATATCAGTGTTACCTGAATGATTAGATAAACAAATAAATCAGTATGAAACAGATTTCTTTATATAAGACAGTTATTGAGCTAATAAAGTATAACTTGGAGTTATTCATACCTCTAAAACATTATAATAGATAATCCTCCTCACACTCAACTTCCTTCAAACTGTGGGTCCTACTACCCTGCAGGCCTGATCAGCTTGTATACGCATAATGCATTTGTTTGTATGTCTGTGTGTTTGTGTCTGGCTTTTAGTTTTGTCTGCATGAATTTATGAATTTGTGTGCTTGTGTCTGTCTTTTTTTCTGTATAAACTTATTTATGCATGTGCTTGTGTCTGTATGTATGTCTGCCTGGGCATATGTGTGTGTTTGAGTCTGACTGTCTATATGTATTATATATGTCTGTGTGCATGTTTGTTTTTTTCGATTTGTGTGTGTCTTAATGGGCAGCATTAACAATTGGTTCACTGTTTCTGGTTTAACTGTCTCTACAATTATTAAATAATACCAGTACAAGGTGGAAATCAGGTTTATGTGACATGCAGTTCAGGTTACTTTGGCATGGATATTTTGATAAGGAATTATGACTGCTTTTTACATATATGTATGTGGCGAAACCGATCTCGCCACTGCGCATTGGAGAAGACTGATTGCCAACCTCCTGCCATGTGACTATGGCCCCTGGGATGTATTGCCCTTTAAAGACATGATTTGGGCATAATGGATTTGTGTTGTGTTGTGCTGCTGCTGGCCTTTTAAGAACCATCTGGGGACATACTGTGGAGTTACTGGGTGGCCACCATTTCCTGTATCAGAGGCACATGGTGAGAACAATGGATGAAGCACATGGTGAGAACAATGGATGGCGGCCATTTTAACTCACAGACACTGTTTGGACTTTTCAACACGGTGCCATCTCGCCAGTATTTGGTGCACATAGACATCGTGCAGTGGTTTTGGACTATACAGCAGGGGACACATTATACAGTGATTGTTTTTCATTTAGCCTGTATATGTTCTGCAGAATCTGCATTAAACTTCATCTTCCAAAGTACTGGACGGATCTGGGTGAATTTTGGATATGTTAGGGTCCCTGTGATGTGTTTTATGAAACTGTATTTCTCTTTCTGTGATAATTAGATTACCCATTGTGTAAGGTAATTGTATTACAGGCAGAGGGGAGGATTTTGTGTGGGTGTGTTGAAGTGTATTGTACGTGTTATCGGTTGTTCTGTAAAACCCTGTGGGCAGTACTAAGTTTGTGGATTGGTAATAAAAGAGGCTGTATGTGCCAGTCCAGTCAGTTCCTGCTTAGCGAAGTGTCGTCTCATTATTGGGGGAGGATTTATTGTATGCTGTTCCAGTTTGACTGCTAGGAGTGTAAACCTATTCGCATGGTTTTTCCTATTCGGCTGTATACAACATTCAAATGCTTGAGAGCATTCATATGCTTCTCCGGTTTGGTGGTTGTGGTGTCTGCTGCAGTGCTTGGAGTCCTCAGGAAGCGCTAGGAGCATCCTTCAATGGAGGGTACCCAGTTGGGTGCCAGGTGATCCGTTACAATGTATGTCTGTATAATTACTCATAGCTGTAACTCATTATTATTTAAAGACACAGTATTATTGATGTCATTATTTATAGTAGGGCTTCTAAAACAACATAGAAAATGGCACACTTACAAATAGTAGGTGGCAAAAAAAGGCAATTAATGTAGCGAGCTTTCTTGTGAGTAAAGGGGCAGCTCATTTTCACACATCCATTTGGTCGCTCTTCCCAATAACAGGGGACTGGAATGACATTGCAGCTACAGAAAAGAGAAATATTTTCATTACTATAGCAATTTCTAAATCTAATGCTTACATTCAATTTGCTATTTGGTTACATTTATTAAAATATGAAGTGTTTGCCATCATCTGGTGGCACTACAGTGATGACGTGCTGGAATTGTGGAGCAACATCTTACTTTGATTACAGAAAGATATCCTTTCTAGACATGATTGAGAAATCCGGGGGACGTTTAAAACTAGTCTTTTTAAGAAATCTATGGATATAAACAATCTTTTACATTTTAGTAGTTTCTACCCTCTATCAGTTTTTAAATTATTACTGAAAAGTCAGTTTATGAGGGTCAAAAGAATAGTTTTTAACCAGAGATGGTTGATCAACAACTGGATTTTATGTCTAAGATGCTTTATTCACGTCATGAAAAGTCATATGCCTGAAATCAGACAAAAAAAGATAAGTGAGTTATTGGCCCATATGAGATCTAGGCATACTGAATTTATCTCGCAATTTGGAATATGGTCTTCTCATATCCGATTGCCACCCAGCAGTTTCCTTACGTTCATTGATGGCATATAAACAATTTCCATTCCTTAGAGAGAAACTGGTAAAAGCGGTATTGCCATCTATAGTCATGTCTATATCCCACGCCTCTTCAAGCCCATTTCTTTAAACTTTAACATTATATCTCTGAGTTAAAGTTCCAAATAATTGAATGTATGCCGTATACCAAAAGGAGAGGTGCTGAATCAGAAATGTTACATAACTCTTTTTATCTGAATAGGATAGGTCATGCTTTTATTTTAGTTTTCAATTATTCATATTGTCATTTTATTTTATTGATTCGCTGCACGAATAAAGTTTTTGAAGGTTTACCTTCACACCTTTCACATTACAGAGAGTTCTTCTTTCGGATATGGATCTTCATCTATGTGAGACCGATGACACAGTTACTTCAATAGAAATTTGGCTGCACTGTCACTTTTAAGTATGGATTATATTAATAACTTATTTGCGCTGTGTTTTTTAATTTGCGTAAGGTTATCCAGTAAACCTCCTGTAAATAAATTTCCAGCTAGCACTGTATATCACTGGTTCTTTGATACATATGTAGCACTGGCTGTGATGTCAGTCAATCCAATGCTTCCCCATTGGAAAGCATTGCGAGGCTAGTGCGCATCCGCAGCAATTTTAAAGCTGCCCCAATCAGTATCTACTCATTAAGATGCATTGATTCTCTATGGGAAGCGTTCAGCTCCTCCATGCACAGCAATCTTTGCAGGACCTTGACCAGTAAGTCCCTCTCTGGTGGCTGTCCGAGTGACAACCACTAAAACTGGCGTTAGGCAGCAATGCAAACACTGTTTTATGTCAGTTACTAAAGTGACAATTTATATTTCAAATATAAGACCAAAATAGCCAAACTAAAAGCATAGCTGACTTACAGAACTTTTCCATTTTGTCTATTTTGACCTTAAATTTGAAATCCACTTTGATTTCCCTTTGAATTATCGCTTTAGTGAATAACCCTGATAGAATGTCCCTTTAATTTAACATAATTCAGTGTTCAGTGAATAAACCTCGTATGGATGTTATGTAAATTAATAATTTACTGTTACACAGGTGCAATACAATTGAAACGTATAGCAAACAAATTCTTACACACAAAATATTAATAACTGTGTACATGAAATATTGGTCAGAAACATTTAATGACAATAATAAAAAGAATATAAAAAATTAAAGCCTATCCTATTTAAAGGACCACTATAGTGCCAGGAAAACATACTCGTTTTCCTGGCACTATAGTGCCCTGAGGGTGCCCCCACCCTCAGGGTCCCCCTCCCGCCCGGCTCTGGAAAGGGGAAAGGGGTAAAAACTTACCTTTTTCCAGCGCTGGGCGGAGAGCTCTCCTCCTCCTCTCCGCCCCGCCCCGCCGGCTGAATGCGCACGCGCGGCAAGAGCTGCGCGCGCATTCAGCCGGTCACATAGGAAAGCATTCATAATGCTTTCCTATGGACGCTGGCGTGCTCTCACTATGAAAATCACAGTGAGAAGCACGCAAGCGCCTCTAGTGGCTGTCAATGAGACAGCCACTAGAGGATTAGGGGGAAGGCTTAACCCATTCATAATTATAGCAGTTTCTCTGAAACTGCTATAATTATGAAAAAATGGGTTAACCCTAGAAGGACCTGGCACCCAGACCACTTCATTAAGCTGAAGTGGTCTGGGTGCCTAGAGTGGTCCTTTAATGATGTAAAGGGAATATGTATTCTAACCCCTAAACCCCATACTTTTTTGTTTATGGATAAAGACATTTCAAACAAATCATAAAATTAAAGACAAGGACCTATAAACTTAAAGAAACACTCTGGGAACCAACGCTAAGTGCATTTGTTTTATCCTCATTTTCATGCTCTATGTTTTTGTATCCCTGTTCAAATCTCTTTAGTTTGGCTACAAAATATAAAAATGTTTTGCCTTGCTTTCTGCAGCACAACTCTGCCCCGTTAGCGAAGACTCCCCTGTTTACAAATGGTCTACCAGATTGGAAGGTAAACCGTGAAGCTCAGCCAATAAATGATGAGTGTGAGCTGAGCTGCCGACTTGACCTTGCCCCCCTGCCAACCTGTGACCTCTTGTAATTTGTAAATTATATCAAAGGTGTGCTTTGAGGAAAGGTGCATATAATAAGAGGAAAGTGACTGGCTGTGCGGCACAGTCATCTCCCCAAATAAACTCACACTGGTATCTCATTGGCTGAGCTAAGTACATATTCACAGTACATCTAATCAGGAAGACGTGTGAAAAGAGGTGGTGTATCTAAAGGGGCAGAGTTACACTCTATTAAGATGCAAATATTTGTATTCCTTTGTCACAAAACTAAACTTATTTGCATGTAGACAAAAGCACAGCATAAATTTCAATTCCAAATCAAATGCACATAAATTGCTGCCTGTATTTTCTTTTTGAAATACTTACATATATGAGACTGAATCCATTCTGAAACATGTCAAATTTGTTTGGATACAAACCACAAAAATACGTTGAGGTGCACGCACTGCTATATCAGGTTACAGCATGACTTTCTTTTTAGCTCTCTATTGTAAAAATGCGCTGTAGAATGGTTAGAATTCTCAGGGTATGTTCCATATATTATGAGGTGGTGTGATGTCATAGAATTATGTGAATGTCACAAAAGGTTGCCAATGTTACCATCCACATAAACAAGTGAATATGGCTAAATTCAAAGTAAAAGCACAAAGGGAGCCATTGCTGTACCCAATATCGAAATGGACTTTACCCACATGTAAATGACACATTCTATAGCATCTGGCCAACATTTTTATGTTGTGTAAAACAATATGAAAATGTTGGTTTATACAGCAATAAATATCTTTCACAAAGTTATCACCATATATAGATACATATACAAATACTAAAATAAAGTTATAAAGAAAATTCCAAAACAAGATTTCTATGTGTCACAATTAGCTCCCTATTCCTTAGTCAGGGTTTTACATAGATAATCCTCATCTACTGAAAAAGAATTAGATAGAATTAACAACAAGCTGCTAGGATGGTGATCAGATGAAAACTACAAAACACTATTAAAGGAACTGTATGGGCACCATTACAACTTCACCAAAATGAAGTAGTTAAGGGGCCCAGAAGTCCTTGGTGCTGGGAAGCTACAGATTGGTGTTTTGCTACCCTACACTACAATATCTATTCATCTTTCCACCAATATGGGGTGTATGCCATGTATTAAAAAATGTAGTGAATGGGACTTGAACTGCAATAGGCAATATTAAGGCATCAATAGCTGATTTGGAGAAGTTCTCCAACTCAATTGTAGTCACAGACTGGCTACTTTGGCCCTAATTCTGCCATTCAGATATCAATGTGCTACAGTTGGGTGGTTAGTGTATAACCCTGTATATCACACCCTGACATATATATATGTAATCTGCAAACTTTAATCAGTGTGAATGTGTCTGATACATAACCATGTGTGGTTTATAATATGCCTACGCAGTAATAAGGCTTGAGATCTAAAACTATATGTGTATATTGTGTGAGGCATATCAATGCAATTAACGTGTCTACTGGATACCTCCAACACAGCTAGATATGTAGGTTCCCGCACGGAAAAGGGATGTGTCAGTCTGGCTTCAAGCACACCAGGCAGACTGACAGCCTGCCTGGCAAGTAACATATCAACAGGACCATGCAAGTAGCCCTGCTGCACAGTGCAAGCATGTCTAATGATATGGGTACAATTCCTGGTGCCCCTGGAACCGGGTCACTATGGAAATAAAGCAGGACAGCAGGGAAGCACCCCTGAAATCAAGACTGCTGGGAGGCATACTATTGTATGTATATGTTAGTGTAGTATATATGCTTGATGTATATACATATGTGTGGGATTAAGAGAGAGAGAGAGAGAGATTTTTTTCTCTTCATATCCTTCCCTTTGAAGCCATTCTATTTTTCCACATCATTCTTTTCATCTGTCTCTATTTCCATTTTATTTTTTTTACACTGATCTTTCCTCAAGTCTCTCTAAAATATATTTTACATAGGCCCACTTACACTGCCTATTACTGGGGGCTCTGTAATATCCCACTTACACTGCATATTACTGGGGGCTCTGTAATATCCCAGTACACACTGCACATTACTGGGGGCTCTGTAATATCCCAGTACACACTGCATATTACTGGGGGCTCTGTAATATCCCAGTACACACTGCATATTACTGAGGACTCTGTAATATCCCAGTACACGCTGCACATTACTGGGGGCTCTGTAATATCCCAGTACACGCTGCACATTGCTGGGGGCTCTGTATTATCCCAGTACACGCTGCACATTTCTGGGGGCTGTGTAATATCCCAGTACACACTGCACATTACTGGGGGCTGTGTAATATCCCAGTACACACTGCACATTACTGGGGG